GTTCTTTTCCTTTCTACCACAGGAGTAGTCTGCAAATTTTCCAAACCCTTATGCTCTGCTTTCCTTTTAAATATAAGTTTCAAGTTTGTCATGTCTTTGCTCCCATATCTGATCATAGACTGTTAGAAGCAGCTAGACCACTCAGGAACTCTGCTACTTAGAAATTTCTTCTGCCACATACCCTAAGTTATCACTCTTAAGTTCAACCTTCCACAGATCCCTAAGGCATGAACATGAATGCAGCCAAATTATTTGCTGTGGTGTGCACAGGTTACCTTTACTCCAGTTTTCAACAACTTTTTAATTTCAATTTGATACTTCCTTAGCCTAGTCTTCACTGTCCGTATTTCTATCAGCATTTTGGTCAAAACCATTTAATTAGTCTCTAAGAAGTTCCAAACTTTCCCTCATCTTCCTGTGTTCTGAGCTCCCTCTGCCCAAATTCCTCCAACCCCTGCCCATTACTCAGTTCCAAAGTTACTTCTATATTTTCAGGTATTTTTATAGCAAAACCCCACTCCTTGGTGCCAATTTTCTGTATTAGTCCATGCTTGTGTCACTGTAAAGGAATACCTAAGGCTGGGTAATTTATAAAGAAAAGAGGTTTAATTGGCTCATGATTCTGCAGGCTGTACTAGAAGCATGGCAATGGCATCTGTTTCTAGTGAGGGCCTCGGGAAGCTTACAATCATGGCAGAAGGCAACAAGGAGCGAGCATGCCACATGGTGAGAGTGAGAGCAAGAGAGAAAGGAGGGGAGGTTCCAGACTCTTTTAAATAACCAGATCTCACATAACTGAGTAAGAAGTCACTTACACCAAGGGGATGGAGCTAAACCATTCATGATAGATCTGCCCCCATGATCCAATCACCTCCCACCAGGCCCCACCTCCAACATTGGGAATCACATTTCAACATGAGATTTGGAGGAACAAATACATCCAAATGACATCACCATGTTACCACCATATCACTTTGATTTTTAGGATCACTGAGTACCTACTATGTGGCAAGCATTGTGTTGCATACCAGATATTTAGAGGTGTTAGCAGCCTTATAGCAGAAGCATCTAAGAAACAAATGATGCTAGCACAGGAGCCCTTCCTAGGGATGTTTGTGTGTAAATTGGGAGAGAGGAAGGCAGGGCAGGGAACCACAGCTTACTTCCTTACTTCTCAGCAGGAAAGTTCACAGAGTATTTGGCCAATTGATTAAAACTGTTGGTATATAAACCTCAGAGAGGTGAATTATGAGAAGAAGAGTTTAGGACTTGGGGGCTTGGAGACTTGACTCAATTTCTTTAGATTAATAACATTCTAGGCAGGCAGATAGAATTACTGACAGTTTGGGGCTGTAAGAATCCTTAGAGAGACTCTATCCAACCCTTTCATTTTACAAAGGAAGGTTGGTAGTAGCAGAGCTACTCCTATTTAGTCCTTCTGATTCCAGGTTTAGTCCTAGTTCAAAGGAATTCCAGACTAAGACACCTGTCAACACAGGGAACTGATATTTATTACATACCTACCTTGAGCAGGCATGGTACTGCCTACTTGATACATGTTATTTAATCTAATCTTCACAGCAGCCATATGAGGTAGGCTATGCCCATATTAAATTTGAACAAACTAATATTTAAGTGTTTACATAATTTGTCTAAGGTCAATAACTGAACAGATATAAAAGAGTTTGACCTCTAAGTTCATGACCCTTGGGTTTTGCCCATAATTTGAGCCCTGCTGGTTGAGATGAGAGCAGCGCATTCCTACACTGGTGAACAGAGGTAAAAATAACCATTTCATATTTAATCATTAAACATATTGACATGATGCATAATAAAAGAAACATGGTCATGGCGCTGTATAGGCAGAGCTCTTTGATCTGCCTCTCCACTCTCCTGTGGCCACACTGGGTGAAGGTCTGTGTGCTGCTAGACCATCCTTCTTAATTAGAAAGGACCCCAGGAGACTTCGCCTAGCCCCAAGCTATCCTGAGCAAAATAAATAGGAAACGGAAAAGAGAGAGAGGAGAGATAAATTCTTACTGACTTGAAAAGATTTATACTGACAATATCCCAAGGAGCTTATGAAATGTATTTTTTCCCTTATTTTTGGTAGAGGAAAGCTGCCGATGAAGAGATAGCTCTCAACTATGGAGTTTCACTGACAGTGAAAATACTTTAAGCTCAGTTGCTTATTGATAGGTTGCAGAAAATAAGGTTCATATAAACATCATCTCACATATTAGAACTGGAAAAATAATCTATCTTTCAGTCAGCTTTGAAAGAGTTCCATTATTGAGGTGCCAAATTACGGGGACAGAATTCACATGCATGGCCACACCCAAGGGTGGAGAGGATCAGTGACACATGAAGTGTCCCTGGTCCCAATACCCCAACACCTTCAGCTGGATTTTTTTAGCTTCTCGTGCGTGTGCACATGTGCATAAGTATAATCTTCCTGAGAAAAAGGGGGATACCTTCTTTATTTTGCCCCCATTCTTCCCTTCAGTAACTTAAAAATCTCCTGGTTTCTACTCAACATTCTGCCAACTTGAGAACATCAGAGAATGGTCTCAGACCAGGGCACAGTTGCTGCTGCTCCCTTATGTGTAAATTATTATCAGACATGGGACTGGCTTCATCCTAACCCCAGGCCATACCCCCCAAAGAGTCTGGAGCAAGACTCTGTCCCCAAAGATACTTCCAGGGTCCTCATGTGCTCTGCACAGATACACACTACGCTAGTACTGGAAACCCCAGTCATCCACCTTCCATATATTGCCTTTGCTTACAACAGTAACATAGCAAACACTTCAAATTTGTATTTAGTCACATTCTTGCCCTTGTGTGGACTTGTGGTGCAAGATGAGGTTGGGTCAATATTAATTCCCTCTTGCCCCCACCATAACAGATCAGTTCTCCTGCAGCACCACTCTGATGGTGCCATTCTCCTGCTCGAAATATCTGGCTCTCTATTATCCACAAAATAAAGCTGGAAATCTTCAGCCAGGAAGCAATGCTCTCTATGGTCTGGTTACACCACCTATCACCCTAGCCTTCCTTATTTCTCAGTTTTCTCTTCAGTGTCCTACTCTGCAGCCAAACATCATCTACCTTTGTCCTTATGCCTCTTCCCTGCAACTTCTGCACAGTCCATTCTGCCAGTATCTTTGTTTTTCTCTCCCTGTAAGACCTGGCTCAAGGGTCTTCCTCTTTATGGATCTTCCCACCTGGACCTCCTGTCTCCTCCCTCCTGAAGCCTCCCAACATGTTTTGCCTGGATGCGTGTCTGACTTTATGACCTCTGTTAGTGCTGATAGTTCTTGCAGACATCTCTTCACCCCTGCGAGACCTGGAGTTCCTTGAAGGCCACAACTGTGTCTGTCACATCGTCTCCTCAGCGCAAAGCCAGTCAGTGCTTGGATGTTTGCTCAAAATAGGCATCCGTTAAATGGAATCTGAGGGCAGAAAGGAGTAAGGAAGGGACCGAATAAATGGATTGGGTCTGGCCCATGTGCCCCTCATTCACCTTCCTGCCCCTCTGACTTCCAAAGTTGTACATTCTGGCCACAAGGTACCTTGGCCATGTTTCAGGCTGAAGTACATGGTGGGCCAGTGAAAAAGATAGAAGAGTACTGCTTAGGAGTCCAGAAATCTGGAGTCTGGTCTTAATCTTCAAACTAAGACTTTGGACAAGTCATTTCCCTATCTGGATCTCCAGTCTGCTTCTCTAGGAAAGCAAGGCGACTGAATTAGATGATCTTCCCAATTCTTTGTCTTTGGTTCTAATCCCTTTTCTTTTCCTCTGTGCCCAGACAAGAACATTTCCTCCACTCAAAATACTGTAATAATGTAGATTATTTGCTGATGGTTGTAGAGCACTTCTCATGACCATACGCCATGCTGAAACTTCCCAGCAGGTACAGAGGGTTCACGTTCTCGATCCAGCTCAGACACAGTCTTGTGCTTCATCCTGATTTAAACCAGAAGTCGCTTTTACTTACTTTAAGAAAGTTGGAAATCTCCAATTCCTGGAAGAACACCTTCCTTTGGAATAATGCTTTGCCTTGGTAGGAATCCCCCTCTTTTATCTGCACCATTGCTTATTGCAGGCTGCTAGTTTATTTGCCTATTTGGGAAATTGGGTTATCTGCAGAAGGAGACCTTGGAAGTGCCAGGAGTAGTTTAAGAAGACTGAGTACTCCTTAGCTGCTTCCCACTGTGGAAGTCAGGGATCTTGTTGAAATAGATTTCTACTGCAAAAGCAGCAGCATCTAATGGCCCAAAACTTCATTGCAGAAGTGCAGCAAGTAAAATTAATGTATCAGAGGGAATGCCTGGAACAATACAATGGTGGTGTGCTTTTACACTGATAGTAATCCCCTTGAATGTAGGTTTCTTGCAGGTCATTTGGCCTGTGCTACTGGAATCAGGATTGGCTTGCTCCAGAGGGAAACTCTGCCACGGGCATAACACCAGAGGGGATTTGTAGGGCTTTTTCTGGGGAGAGTTGCAAGTTCACATGACTCATAGGCTCAAGAGCTGAAACGAACCTTTAGAGATTATTGAGTTCAGCCAACCCTCTCACCCCATTTTACAAGGGAGGAAATGAAACCTAGAAAAGTTAATGCTTTTCCCAAGATCATTCAACTAGTAAGGGAAGGAACAAGAGTCTTTTGAAATAGATGTTTTTATTCCTGTTTTGCAGATGAAAAGTCTAAGGCTCTAGGACACAGAAGTAGGAAGTAGGGGAGGTAAGGTTAGAACCTTGGTCTGCCTGACTGTAAGGTCCATGTGCCCAGTCACTGTCCACCTGCATCAGGCTATACTATTTACAAAGAAAATCTAAGAGCAGAGGAAGAAGGCTGGGTGCATGCAGAGAAGGAGATAATGGCCTCCAGTATCTCTGATTTTGATGCTATTTGTCTCTAAGTCTTGCCACAGAGCTACTGCTGGTCTTACCTGAATACATCTACAGATTCATTTTCCCTATCTCTTTTCAGGGTCCTTTCTCCTCCTCAACACCTCAGCTGACTCCAAGCACACCATCCTGAGTCCGTGGATGAGGAGCAGCAGTGAGCACTGTACGCTGGCCGTCTCGGTGCACAGGCACCTGCAGCCTTCTGGAAGGTACATCGCCCAGCTGCTGCCCCACAACGAGGCTGCAAGAGAGATCCTCCTGATGCCCACCCCAGGGAAGCATGGGTAAGTACTTCTCCATGTCCAAAATTGATTTTATACAAGGTGATTTGATTTTTGGCTACACATTTCCAGAGTCTGTGACATCTACTTACAAACTCATGATTGTCCTTGAATCGGTAGGTCCAGGTTGAGCAATTGCTACTAATATCCCTTAAGTGGTGTCTTGGGTACTGACCTGTGGGTCCCTCTGACTGCCCTGCCTAGTGGCCCTTCCAGAAGCCAGAGGACCAGCTGCCAGAGTGGGCATTTCATGAGTGGGTATTAAAGATGTTCATTTCCCAAAGTTCAGATGGAGCCAAGAAGAAAACAGCCAAAGAAATGTTAAAAGGCCAGAATGAAAGTAATTTAATATGGTAGAGACTGGGTTTTACCAGCAGAAGCTGGGCAGGAAGGGAAAGGACAAAATATTTTGGCCATCCAAGCAGGTTCTACGGGAATTTGGTACCCCAGAGCAGGATTAGTCATGGATACTACACCAGTGTAATTCAGTAGAGATTGGAACAGAGCTTTGTGCTACAACCACCAAGGCATATGCCAGTGGAAACCTTTAAGCTTTCTGGAGATACTTACTTGCTTACTCAGTGATTCATCAGGGCTCTACAAGTCGTGACATTGGAAAGCAAAGTTAAACTAGGGCACCTCTGTGCCTGGCTTTTGTTTTTTCATTCCATAAGTATAAATACCATCCTATGATCTCAGCACTGAGGGACCCCAGATCTGATTACTTTAGCAACAAGGATCCTTCTTTGTGACTTGTTTACAGGAGAAAATTCCCAAATGTCTAGCTGTGCTTAGACTTGGCTTCCTTCTAAGAGAATATCTTTTCAGAAGGGTCCCACCTGGATGATGACTGCTACCCATCCTCCATCCCCATGGTGTGCAGGGGAGAGATCCTGTCTGTTGCTTTGGCAGTAAGGCTGAATGGCCTCCTTTGTAATTTATTGAAAGTCTTCTCCCCACTCCCCGCCATTAACCCATCTGTATTTAGTTGCACTTAGAAGGACTACAAGCTGCTGCAGTCTCATCAGGAATGAAATCTTGGCATCAAAAAGAATGCTCTCCACATTCCTAAACTCATATCCATCTTCCTGCCTCTGAAATACCTCTTTGGGCTGGCTGAGAAGGTCCCAGCTACCAAGGACTCTTGCTCTATTCACCAGATATCAGTGTGGGATAGCAGGTGTCTGGACTGCCCCGTTTGGGACCAGCTGTCCTCTGGCGCCAAGCCTCCCCCCAGCACGGCTTCTCTTTCCAGTAAGGAGCCTGGATGGGAAGCCTCTTATCTGAGAGCAGGGCTATGTGCCATCCTGTAGGTATTTGCCCAGCCTCATATTCTGAGAGTTGCATATTCTGACTTACCACTCTCAACATTCCTTCCTTCCCCACCAGGCCTGGCAGAGACCAGGGATTGTTGCTTGAGGCTGCTGAGCCCTCAGGCATCAGGTCCCTTGTGGTGCTGGTGGAGGGTGGGGGGATTCACAGATGTGGCTGGGAGAGGTGGAGTTGGAGTCTGAGAATACCCACGAGTGTGAGAAAAGGTGCCGGAGGGGTTTCAGCCCTTCTTGTGTGGCCTGGCCTGTTTCCCTGTGTAGCATAGTCAGGAACATAACTCCTCGGGTGTGACTGGCCATAGGGCCTTGCAAATAGTTTTTCCCTCTTTACCTTTTTATGCTCATAACTACCAAGTAAATTCTCATTTAAAGGAGGAGAAAATGAGGCAGAGAGAGGAAATAGGAAGTGACGTGGTCCAAACTGGACTCTTTCCAGGAAACCTAAAGCCTCTTAGGGAGAAAGGGTGGAGTTGGGAAAGAGAAAGGGAAATATGAAAGAATCTTGCAAAAAAATCAAAAAGAGAGAGTGATTATTTTGATTATTTGACCTTTCAAGACAAGTGAGCCCTGGGGCATGCGATGTCAGTGCCTTCAAGGGCAGCCTTCCCTCCATATGGTGCCATGGCCACCTACCTCAAGGTCCACCTGGCCACCCAACTTACCCTCTTCCCAAGGCAATGCCTCTATCACCAGAGGAGCTGCTCTGTCCTCTGGAGGGTGTGAGTTGAGCAGGACAGAGGAATTGGGACTGAGCTGAGGCAAATTCAGTGACTTGATGGCTTTGTCTGGGGCTGCCTACATATACAGGGACTTAATCTTAGACTCAAGCTTCATGCATCTCAGGTACAGCGATGTTTCCCCCTGGCCCTGGCAGAGCCATGGAATTTATGGAGTTTAGTGAAGAGCAGGAGTGATTCCAGATTTAAATTACAGATGCCTAGGCCAGCCTCCTCACCTCCCCTGAGATCAGTGTGGTGAGGGTAGAAGGTGGCAGCAGAAAGGACAATCAATAGACCATCCACTGCAGCGCAGAGCTACTCTCGTGGGTGCCTTGGCCAGCTGCAAGGAACAGGGCATTTGCCTAGCAAATCAAAACTTGCCCAGCGTTGCACTGTTGAGGGTTTGGGATCACAAAGAATGGAGATTTGCCTGCTCTCTGATTATGGGGTCACTGCTAGTCTCAAGAATCTTTGGATTTGCAATACTCAGCAGTTTGCCATGCTGAAAGCTCACTCCGTTTAATGTCAGAGATGACCTCACTAGCATAGCGCTCAGAGCAGTGAGGGGGACACAGTGATATCCTGGTGATGTCGAATGTGATGATTACGAATGGGGCTGGCTTCCTCTCATAACAGGAGATGGTGGTTTGGGGACCACTGTTTGGAAAACAACATTCCGTGTTTGTAGTAATGAGGGAGGAAGTTGTAATAATAAAGTCGGCTGGGGAGAGCCTGACTCAGAGGAGTGGGCTGAGGAATGACAAGTCAGACGCCACCAAGTTCCCCGGAAACCACTGAGTCGTGAGCAGGCAGTGCCGGCTGTCGTGCATCAGAGGGGCGGGAGCAGCAGGCTGGTTGGAAGCACCCGGAGGCAGGAGGTAGGGGAAAGGCAGTTGGAGAAGCACAGCAGCTGCTCCCTTCCTAGTCGCCTGGAGAGCAGCGGAGTATATGAGGTCTAATGAATCACAGAGCATGAGTGGCCACGTTGGCCAAGGCTGCTTGGCTTTGCCCAGAGTCTCACAGGGGACAGACAGGTGAGTGCCCAGCCTGCTCATGTGCCCAGCCAGAATGACCAGAGAATCAAGGAAGCAGAGAAATAGGGGCTGTCAAACAGCCTAGGCCCAGCTGGTCACAGTCACGTAGGCATAGGACATCTTAGCTAGAAATTAGTAGCCACAAAGTCCCCATGAACTGAATGAATATGATAATACCTATGTAAAATGGTGAGTTGTGAAATGGCATATGGAAAATGGCTCACACGGTGCCTGGCTATAGTTGGCACTAATAAATGCTAGGTCCTTTTTGGTTCAAACATTCATCTCACTATCATGGATTCAGTGCCTCTTGTGTAGTAGGTGCCAAAGACGACACAGCCGAAGACAACAAGGTCATAGCTTTCAAGGAACATCCAGTCCAGTAAGGAAGACACAAGCGGAATAGCAACAGCGCGTGCTTGTGTGAATGTTTTAAAATTGAGGCTCATATTATTAAGAGGCTGAGCTAAGATCGCTAATGGCAGACCCAGCAGAAGCAGCCGGCTAGGGAGCCATCCACTGCACCACACTGCCGTTCTGATGTGTCTTAGAAAGATCGATCCAGCAGCAATTGTCTATGTAAAATTGGTGTTCTCCTGGATGCAGGAATGCAAGCTTGAGGGTGGGTGGCATGTCAGGCTATAGGAGACACTCTCCAGGGCTCCTGCCCAGAAGGCCACCTCCAGTCTTGTTTCCTCTCCAAGCACATGGCTTTCTCCTACAGCCGCGGGTATCTGGGGACTTTATTATGTGTGACCAGAACTACACAGTGTGTGGAGGGAAGAATTGGGCCCCGAGGGAATAGAAGTTGCCAATCATTTGAATTACTAATACTTGAAAAGATATTTTAAACCGAAAGTCATTGGGGAAACTCAGGCTTGAGCCAAGATAAGCTGTCAGGGCATTTTAAAGCACAAATAAGACTCAGTCCAGAGTGTGGTGGTGAACTGAAATTCTCAGCACAAAGCCTTGCCTTTCTGCAGGACCTCAACCCCTAGACCCGGAAGATACTTGAGTCTAATCTCCTCCCCTTTCCATGTTGGTTTCCTGATGGGGAACGTGAAGCCCAGGGGGGTGATGATGTGGTGTGATGTGATGAAGGTCAAACTGCAGGCTCAGACCCAGCACAATGGCTCACACCCCTAATCCCAGCACTTTGGGAGGCCAAGGTGGGAGGATCACTTGGGGCCAGAGTTCAAGACCAGCCTGGGCAACATAGTGAGATCCCCAACCTCTACAAAAAATATATATTTTTAGTTAGCCAGGCATGTTGCGACATGCCTGTAATCCCAGCTACTCATGAGGCTGAGGCAGGAGGCTTGCTTTAGCCCAAGAGGTTGAGGCTGCAGTAAACTATGATCATGCCACTGTACTCCAGCCTGGGTGACAGAGCAAGACCCTGTCTCAAAAAAACAAACTAACAAACACACAAAACTGCAGGCTCGTGGCAAAGCCAGGACTCATCTCCACAGTGGCACCCTGGAAGGGTCTGTTTCCCAGCTGCCCAGCTGCATCAGTAAACCCTCAAACTCACTGCCCTTAGATTAAAATCTGCAGCCACCCTCCCCAAGTGAAGAAAAATTTGCATTCACACTGGGTACCCATACAGCTGCAGCACTTACTTAAGGCAATCAGTTCTGACCAAAGATCCCAGCTTTAAAACTAGTAACAATCCTAATAGGAAATGTGCCAAGGTAATTTAACTCAAAGAGATAATGATTTGTGGCCATGAGGAGGTGCGGTTTCAGTCCTGATTCCGCCGCTAATTTGCAGCATGGTTATGGACAACCACAGCATTGCCCAGCTGTAGCTTCTTACCTTCTAAAGTGGAGGTTCTGACTGCCCTCTGCTCCCCTCTTCTGTCCCAGCAATGCCAGCGACCCATCCTCAGATGCCATCCAGGACTAGGGCAGCAGGAA